GTCCCACCTTGGCAGTCACTGCAGTTTTCCGCAGCAGGGCATGGGCAGAACAGCACGTACACCCAGGGGTGTGGGGCTGGCTGGCTTGCTGCAGTAGTGGGGGCAGGTTGCTGAGCTCCTGGGGGGTCTGGGCAGACCACCTCACGGGCTGCAATGGCAGTGGAGAAGCAGGGATGTCCCTGGCTGTCTGGAAGCCATGACCCTGAGCCCAGGCCATGCAGTGGTGGCTGTTGTGCCAGTGGAGCTCGTGGTGGAGCTTGGGACCACTTGTACCCTGGAGACAGACAGGCCAAGTCTGCAGTGTCCCCCAGCTGCATGCCTGATTCTTTGCTCAGCTGGAAGGTCCCGATTTCCCTGTTGAACCCATCAGTGAGTGCCAGACCCTCCACCAACCACCCTTGTCTGCCACAGGGGGATTTACATCACGGGCTCCAGCATCATCGGTGGTGGAGTTAAAGCCCCTCGGATCAAAACCAAGAACCTGGTCAGGTAAGTGCAGACCTGGGGTCAGTGCTGAGCAGGGCAGGTCCCAGCCTGGTGCTGAGGCTCCTGTCCTCTCTCTAGCTGGATGCTGCTGGCAGACTGTTCCTTGCTGAGCTGTTTACTTTCAAAACAAAGAGCCTTAAAGGAGCCAGAGTGCTGCTTTAAAGAGTCACTGCGTGATATCACACAGTGAATGAGCCCAGTGTGTTCAAAACAAACACCCTGAGATCACACTTCCTGCTCCAGGCGAGGGTTCCCCTGGCCAGACCTAGCACAGCCCTTCCCACAGGGAGCAGAACGGGGCTGATGTGGGGCAGAGCTCTGGGACCTACCTCCCGCAGGGTTGTCACAGCTTCCCTGGGTGGCACAGCACAACCAGCACCCAGCCTTTGTGTTTGGCAGCTCCCCTTTGAGAGGAAAGCAGTGAGTAGGCTGGGCTGCCTTTTTGCCCTTGGCAGCAGCGGGGCAGGCTCAGATGTGGCTGTGGAGGGGCCTGAGCACGACGTGGCAGGGGCAGCTCTGGGGCAGAGCCTGGGACAATGTGCTCAGACTGGGTCACTGCACTCAGACTTTTGCCTTTCTCCCACAGCATCATTTTCTGTGAAGCCGTGGCCATCTACGGGATCATCATGGCAATTGTCATCAGTAACATGGCTGAGGTATGGGAGGACCTGGGCTGTCCTATCAGCCTTGGGGCCACGGTGGGAATGGGCATCCAGGCATGGGTTAGCACTGTGAGTGGTGTCCCTCTGGGGACACTGTTGTGGCTCTGGCAGCCCCTGGGCTGGTGGCCTGTGTGGTGGCCCTTGTCCACGCTGAAGAGTGGGCTGGGGGAGCGAGCACACACAAAGCAAATGTCATGAAGCCACCCAGAGACGTGGAATTGGGGATCAGCTCTGGCCATAATGAGGACAGGTACCCCTCCCAGAGACCACGAACTTGCCACTAACTCAAGCCCTGTGCTTTCTCTCAGCCTTTCTCTGCGGACACCCCAGAGACAATTGGAGCCAGGAACTACCACGCAGGTAAGGACTGCTCAGTCCATGCTGTGAACATTGCCACCCCCTGACTGCCCGTGGCCTGCTGCAGGTGTCTGAAGGACGTGTGCCTTCTGCCAAAAAGCAGCATTTTAGTTACCTTCTTGAGGCCTTCCTGCACCCAGTGGGGCTGGGCAGCACCGCTCCTCCCTCAGGCAGCAGCAGATGCTGTCACCGGCTGGCCTTGCCCTGCAGGAGCCAAGGCACACCCTGGAGCAGTTCTCCCCAAACAGGAGGACGCTGCTGGTGCTTGGCAGCTCTGGGTCTTCTGTCACTTCAAGGCAGAGCTGCTGCAGCACGCCCTGCGTGCAGGCAGAAGGGAGTTACCCTTTGCTCTTGCAGGTTTCTCTATGTTTGGCGCTGGCCTGACCGTGGGGCTGTGCAATCTCTTCTGCGGGGTGTGCGTGGGCATCGTGGGCAGCGGGGCTGCCCTGGCTGATGCCCAGAACGCCAGCCTCTTCGTCAAGATCCTGATCGTGGAGATCTTTGGCAGTGCCATAGGGCTGTTTGGGGTCATCGTTGCTATCCTTCAGGTACGCCTGTCACTCTGGGTGCTCTTCAGCTACGGGGTGACACACCTGGGCTCCAGCACAATCTTCTAGATTGGGATAGAGAGGCTGCTCACATGGTTTGGGGTAGCACAGCTCCCCACAGTGTACCATGCCCATATGTAGCAGTGTGAGCTCTTTTGATGGCCCATCTCAGCAGCTGTCACCGAGTGCGTCACCCTGGGTGCGCCCTGTACAGTGCTTGTGTCTTGTCAGCAGGGCTGAGAAGCTGTCTGCAGCTTCTGGACAGTCCTGAGGTGTTTGGGTGGGACTGGGGTGCTGGGAAGGGGTCTGTGATGCGTGGCCTAACTTCTTTTCTTTCTTTCTAGACATCTAAAGTAAAAATGGGCAACTGAGCCCTGTCCTACCCAGCCTGTTCCAGCCCGCCCCAAGAGGTGCTGTATATAATTATTTAATGTTTCTATCCTTGACTGGGGCGGGAGCTGCCCGGCAGCAGGAGTGGGAGCCTGGCTGTGTAGAGCCCCCTCCCACCGATCGATCGGCCCCCTTGGAAGAAACGAATTTCTCTGTGTGAATTCTGCCCCAGCGGCCCGGCCCAGCCCGCGGGGCCCTGCTGCTGCGTGTCCCTGCCGTGTGTAGAATCGACCACCAGTGCAATTCTGTGTCCGTGAAATAAATATGGTTCTCGTCCAAGGATGCAGTTCTTCCTCTGCCCTACACGTAACAGGGAGGCTTGTAGAGAGCAAGTGCTCATTTGAGCTGAACCCCTGCTCAGAAGTTCTCCTCTTTACCTCTCAAAAAGTCCCTGTCCTGCTCCAAGGGCCGAGTGGTGTCCTCCTGCTGTGGGGTTAACCCTGCTTAGCCTGCAAGAGGCTGCCCTCTCTGGCTTGTGGGAACACAGCTCTGCCTTGCTGCCCCGAGCAGGTAGGAGGCTGCTGGAGCAGGCAGCGGGCAGCTCCCTCTCCCAGGCTCCTACAGCGCTGGCACTGCCCCATGCGAGGTGTGCTGGAGGCACAGGTGCAAGCTGGTTTGGGCCTTTCGGCTCCCATCCAGGTAGTTTGGCACAGAGGGAGCGTACGCTGTGTCTGTAGCCCCATTGTGCAGCTGGGGAGCACCAGAAAGGCAGAGGAGCAAAGTTTTTGCCCCGTCCAGGGCTGTCCTCTGGGCAGCAGCTCCCATGGGTGACTCTTGGCTGGGTGCTGCTGCCTGGGGAGTGCTGCTGGATGCTGGGGCTCTCCAGTTTGCAGTACCCCTCTGTCCGGGTGGCCCTGGCTGAGGTCCCAGGGGTGGGGAAGCTTCACACTGGCTCTGCTTCCCTCTTCCTGGCTGTGGTGAGTACAGCACGGGGAAAAGCCAGCTGTGGACAGCTGGGTCTGCAGCTCATCTGTGGCTTGGGGGAAGGGAAGAAAACAAGGTCCTCCTGCCTCCGCTCTGCAGAGAGCCTGGAGCCGATGCTTTTGCAGTCTGCTGTATCCAGCACAAGGCTCTCATCCTGCTGTGCTGCCAGTACACCTTCATAGCGACAGCATCTGTCCCCCAGGTACCGTTGGTGCTGCTCTGCGTCAAAGTGGATGCGTGCCTGGAGCTGCCCATGTCTCTCTTCCCACCTGGATGCAGCAGGCTGGGGTGGTGATGGGACCGCTGGAGCCAGGGATGCGTTCATGCCTGCTGATCTTTGCCTTTAGACTTGGCCAGCTGCCTCTGCACGGCCTTTCTGAGCTTTGCTGCTTTCCCAGCTCTGCTCCCTGTTGTCTGGTGTGTTTTGGGACAGCAGTGTCTCAGCCTGGGGTGCAGGCAGATGGCTGGGACAAACAAAGCCACTGTTGCTGCCAGCAGTGGTGGCTGCTCCGCAGCTGGAGGCTGCGACAGGAGCTCCGTGTGCCCCATGTAACTACAGGGACATGAGCTGGGCCCTGCTTGGTCAGAAGAAAGGGTGTCAAGTGGGGACAGGGTTCGGCCCATCCTGCATGAGGGCTGTACCCCTGTCCTCTGGCATTGCTGCTGCTGCAGGCCACAGATGTCTGAAGCCCCTGGGAGCTGCAGGGCTGCCCTGTCAGACCTGCACTGAATTCGCAGAGCTGCCTTCAGGAAGGAGGCGCCTGGGGTTGGAAAGCCTGCGCTGGTGGTAGAGAAGCTGCTCCATGAGTTCATTATCTTCCTGAAAGAAGCCTTCTTGAAAGGCTCACACATTTGTATTTCAGGAATGGGTCTTGCCGTGTCCTGCCTTGGCTTGATAGAAACCTGATGTCAGAAATCCCTCTCTGTGAAGTGCTTTTCCACTCTCCAAATCCTGCCTGTGTGTGTATCACAGCTCTGGCAGGGGAGTGGGCTCTGAACTTGCCCTCGTGAGGACACGAGACCCACCAGGGCTGGTCTCACAGTGGCTGGGGTGGCCCATGGCCCGCCTCCCACAGCTGGCGGTGGTGAGGTGAGCACACCCTGTACTCCCTTGTTCTAGGTGCGTGTGCTTGGCTTCCTTTGCACTTGGTGTGCTAAATAGCTCAAGCATGGAGAAAAAGCTTCAACACTGCTCCAGCACCTCGCACCTCATCTCATTTAGGAGCAGCAGTGGGAGCTGAGAGATGATTTGTAAGTACTCAAGGGGGAAATGCTTGCTGCTGAAGAGCAGGACCAAGAGCTGGGAGCAGAAGTTGGACAGCTTTTAGCAGGGGGGGTGCAGGGCTGGGCTCTTTGAGTATCACTCAAAGATAGGTTGAAGGTGAAGGAAGTTGTCCTGGGGCAGAGGGAAATGCCTCACTCAGGTGAGCAGCCAGGCACAGAGGCCCTAGGGCACAGGGGCTGCTCAAAATGGGCACAAATGCCGGGATGGGTTTGCTGGTGAGAAGGGAAAGGCAGCGGGTGGCACAAGAATTCTTTGTGGTGGGCCAAAGTGGCAGTGGGACCAGCCCGAGATCTTTCGCTGATGCCGTTGTGGTAGGGAGAGTGAAATTCATTGCTAGGAAACACCGAGAAA